AGGGATGTCGTGTCTCATAATGGGGCTGGCCATGTAGTCTTCTCTGTGGATTGGCTGCTCTGAGCAGGTATATCGTCCTCAAGGCTTGGTGGCCAGGATGTGCTCCACTTTCTCTTCCTCCTCCTTCATTTGCTCCCACCTCTTTTTTTTTGAATCATTTTATTAGGGGCTTGTACAATTTTTATCACAATCCATCCATCCATCCATTGTGTCAAGCACATTTGTGCATTTGTTGCCATCATCAATCTCAAAACATTTGCTTTCTACTTGAGCCCTTAATATCAGCTCCTCACTTTTGCCCCTCTCTTCCCGCTCCCCCTCCCTCTTGAACCCTTGATAATTTATAAATTATTGTGTCATATCTTACACTGTCTTACGGCTCCCTTCACCCACTTTTCTGTTGTCCATCCCCCAGGGAGGAGGGTATATGTAGATCCTTGTAATCGGTTACGCCTTTCTAACCCACTTTCCCTCAACCCTCCATGTATCACCACTCTCACCACTGGTCCTGAAGGGGTCATCTGTCCTGGATTCCCTGTGTTTCCAGTTCCTATCTATACCAATGTACATCCTCTGGTCTAGCCAGATATGTAAAGTAGAATTGGGATCATGATAGTGGGGGAGGGGGGGAGGAAGCATTTAAGAACTAGAGGAAAGTTGTATGTTTCATTATTGCTACCCTGCACCATGACTGGCTCATCTCCTCCCCACGACCCTTTAGTAAGGGGGTGTTCAGTTGCCTACAGATGGGCTTTGGGTCTCCACTCTGCACTTCCCCTCATTTACAATGATTTGATTTTTTGTTCTTTGATGCCTGATACCTGATCCCTTCGACACCTCGTGGCCACACAGGCTGGTGTGCTTCCTCCATATAGGCTTTGTTGCTTCTGAGCTAGTTGGCCACTTGTTTATCTTCAAGCCTTTAATACCCCAGAAGCTATATATTGTGATAGCCGGGCACCCTCAGCTTTCTTCACCACATTTGCTTATGCACACATTTGTCTTCAGTGATCATATCGGGAAAGTGGGCATTCACTGATTTGATTTTTTGTTCTAATAGATAGAAAGTATACCTGATGGTACAAAAAGTATCTTTGAGAGATTGTAAGATTATAATATCACTGTATTCCCTCAATTGTTGCTGATTATTGGAAACATGATTGATCCACTTCTGCGAACTTAGGTTACAGACATAATTTTTAAAACATCACTAGAAGGCACGCTGTTGGGGGGAAAAGCCAGGTGAGGTGATTACCAAGTTTTTTTGAACTGTGAGGTTTATGATTCTCAGTTCTTTTCTAGGCTGGCTTAACACAGGGGATTGTAAACTTAATAAGGCCAGAGAACTGAGACAAAAGATAGCTTGTAAGAGAGAGATATAGACAATTAAGCATATTCAGCCCACAGCATAATGGGAAGAAAGTGCCCTTCAGGGGACCATGTGCTACAACGGGGTTTTGCGATGAGGTAAAAATAAAACTGCAGCTCATGTTTTCTGTTTGCTTGTAATATTGCAGTCAATAACCTACAGAGCACCATGCCATGTAAAATAGCTCCATCTGTCTACATATCCTGACAGCCACAAAGAACCCTATGTCCCTACTATGTGCCAGACATAGTGTGACCCATTGCATTACTATCTGATTTGACCTTATAGAAGGAAATGCATAAGGTTTTCATATTATCCATATAAAGATGAGAAAACTGATTCTGATAGGCGATGTTCTTTACGTAAGTAACTAAGAGACCTGAATTTAAACTGAGGAGTGCTTGAACTTTGAATTTATCAAGAGTTTCAGGGGCTTTTAGACTTTAGAACTGTAGAAATTACTGCCACCAGGTCAACCATAGTGACCCTATAGGACAGGATAGAATGGCCCTCTCTTCCTCTTTATGGGAGTAGAAAACCTCACCTTCTGAGGAGTGGCTGGTGGTTTGAACCACTAACCTTGTAGTTAGTAGCCCAATGTGTAACCATTATGGAACCAGACTGTAGAGGATCTTTAAAAACCTTCATATTTTTGCCTCTGAGCAAGAAAAATATGGAGCCCAGAGATTCAGGATATCCTGCATCTATTTTCCGTGTGGAAGAAAAGGATTCCATTGGGGTACTCAGGGAGGCTCTAGCACCTGGACTCCATACACACTGTTTACAAGGATGAGGGTTAGGCTTCAGCAGAAGGAGGAGCAATGACAGGCCAATGTAGTCCCACCCAGTCTTCTCTCCCTTGGTATTCCTCTAGAATGTCAAACACACACCAGAAGTCTCATTTTACACTAGCTTTCTAAAGTATAGTACACCTGAGTAATTAGAGCTCTCTTCACATTCTCAAATAGTGCCTATTAATCTGTAAAATAAATTTTGTTAGCTGCCATTGTGTAGTATTAAATTAAAAATGATGCTGAAGAGGTGGGGGTCCAGCCCCCACTGCTAATACTCTCTACGAGTTCAGTAATACTACTTCTGGGTTCAGTAATGCACAATTGTACGGTTGAGATATATAAGTATTATATTAAAGTCATCGAGAGCATGAGAGATATTACAATAATACAGTCAGACACATTACATGGTAGCATTTCTCACCTCAGCCCAGCTTGGTGGTCCATGTGGAGAGAGGGGGAAGGGAAGGAGGGCAAGGGAACAAGGGAGAGAGGTGAGGGGAGTGAGCACCAAGGAGGTCAGAGTCTGAGCCCTAGAGCTCTATATTGCTGACTCACGCCTATATACCTTTTGGGGGCATGCCAGCCCACTAATTACAGGTAGAGACATATGTCATAGGGAGGGGTTACACTATAGGGTAACACAGTAATGAGAAGGTGGTCTCTGGGTCTCCATAGGAACATTATCAGTAGGGTGCAAACCCCTCCTACAGGAACCAAGCTAATGGCCCCAAGCTTCAGAGAGAAGTAGTCCATTGTCTCCAGCAGCAGGGAGCAAGCCCAGTTCAGTCTGGCAACTGATCGCCCTCAGGGGAGGGAATGCCTGCACATCTGACCTCCCCCCACACCATTGTATCTCTTAGGACCCATAGTGACCCTACAGAAGGAAACATTACCCAATCCTGCACCATTCTCACCATTGTTCCTATGCTTGAGCCCAGTGGTGCAGTCACTGTGTCAATCGATCTCCTTGAGGCCCTTTCTCTCATCCACTGCTCCTCCACTTTACCAAACATGATGTTCTTCTCCAGGGACTGTCCTCTCCTGACAACAAATAAGTATTAGTATCCACATTTTATGAATAAGGAACTGAGTTTAACTAACATATGCAAAGTTATAAAACCCCAATACCATAGAATCCATTCTGACTGATATTCAACCTACAGGACAGAGTAGCACTACTACTGCTACAGTAGGATTTCCAGGGCTGTAATTCTGACAAAAACAGACTGCCACATCTTTCTTCTACAGAGGGGCTAGTCGGTCAAAACCACCAACCTTTCCAGTAGCCCCACACTTAAACACTGCACCACTAGTTACACTTTGATTCCAAGAATCAGAGGAAATCAATGTAAATTTTGGATTCAAACAACTCAGGAAATGAGATAACTTTGTGGGAACTGGAGCTTCCACATCCATAAAATGGAAGCATAGATCTGTTAGTGTCTTTTCTTCAGATCTGTCCTCTCTGGTTTTTTTGCTTTTGAATGACCAATTCTACTTTTAGAATTACAGAAGAAGGACTTGCTTGAACCTTCTTTCATTAAGAGGAGAATTTTGGATTAGAGGTTAAGATGATGCAAGATATGAAAATCATAAAAATTTATAAGTTATCAAGGAGTCACAAGTGTGGGAGGGTGGGGAGGGAGGGAAAAACGAGGAGCTGATATCAAGGGCTCAAGTAGAAGGAAATGTTTTAAAAATGATGATGGTGGGCAACAAATGTATAGATGTGTTTTATACAATTGATCTATGTATTGTGATGAATTTTATGAGCCCCAATAAATTGATTAAAAAAATGTAAAAAAAAAAATGATGATGGTAACATAGGTACAAATTTGCTTGATACAATTGATGTATGGATTGTTATAAGAGCTTTAAGAGCCCCCAATAAAATAATTTATTAAAAAAATAAAAATAAATGTTTAAAAAGCTAATGTAAATTTTAAAAATCTCTTATGTCTTTTGTTTTCTTGGGTGGAAAAATTATAAAACACATGCACACAAAGAAAAGAAAACAAAAGTCATTCATCAATCATTTTAGTGACCATGTACAAAAACTGTTGATACATGATTTTTAATAGATAAAGAAGTTTCCTTTTGAACTTTTAAAAATTATTTTTATGATGACAACATTGTGGTATATATATATCTTCCTGTCTTCAAAACTAACAAAAACAAAAGCATTCCTTTGAGGCTTTCTCAGATTTGATGCTTCCCTTCTAAAAGATGGGAAAATTGGAGTGGCCATTCCCTGATGAGATGGTCTTACAGTGAGACATATCACAATAGGAAGTATATGACTCAGAGGAATGCAGCATGAGTCAGAGACTCTGGAGACATGAATCCTGGTCCTAGCTTTACTGTGTCGGTGTCGGTATTTTTCAGAAGTCTAACAGCATCCCTTTCTTCCTCGACCCTCTGAGTCTGGAAACTCCACTGAAATCTGTTCAGCACCATAGCTACATGCAAAGCACCACTGACAGTTGACTGCACATGAGGTGCATTGACCAGAAACTGAAATTGGGCTTCCTGTTTGAAAGGAAACAACTCTATCACTGAACCACTAATGTCTTGATCTATAAGAAAAGCATTGTAAATACTGCTCCATCTATTCCTAAATTGAGTTTGTTGTGGTCCTAAATGGCATCATATTTTGGAAAAGTCTAAAAGTCCTCTTCAAAAACAATGAGACTGATTTCCACATTGGTTGACACCTGCATAGAATTTTATTCAATAGATCTTCCTGACATGCTTCTTCGGGAAAAATACACTAATATTCTAAAATTTTGTTCAAACCAAATGTAACCGTCCTGCTTTATTGTTTTCTTTGTGCACAGACTATCTGAATGTCACAAATATTCACTTGTTCAAGGAAAGGTGGGACACCAACAAAGTGGACCATCACACTGACAAGTATGACAACAACAAGTTGATTGTACGCCGAGGACAGCCTTTCTATATCCAGATTGACTTCAATCGTCCCTTTGATCTGCGAAGGGATCTCTTCAGAGTTGAGTATGTCATTGGTGAGTATATATGCAAGCTGAGCCATGGGTCCATGGTCACATAGTAGAGAAGCCACCACATACCACGGTGGGTACAGTGGCAGTTACATGATTTCCTTGAACTGTAGTTTAATGTAATTCATTGTAGTTTAACACTGGGGTTGGGATTACATCAGTCCCTGAACCACTCTTTGCTCTCAACTGGATCTATTTAACGACAAAACATCAATTATTTCAGCCTACCAAGGCAAAAATCCAGTACAAATAAAAGTGAGTTTAATTAGTACAAAATGTTGGTTTTGTAAGTTATTTTTCCCAAAACTAACAGTTTGGCATTACATAGTTGTGAACTTTGATTTACTACCTCTGAGTCATGATTTAATTGGCCTCATATGATGAAAATATCATCAAATTATAGCATGCTATCTCCCTATGAGTATTTTCCAGGTCTGGCAAAATCTAGTCCCATGGGACGCTCCATGAAAAATGGGTTGTCAAATAAAGTTCTATGGATAATTTGTACTTAACTCTTGAAGATTCACAGTATTTATTAAATGAAAAGAGTCTAGGAAGTACCATAATTTAAATTTGCTCACCCCAGTATATCACAAATTCATGTGATCATGAACCTCTTTCTTTAAGCTACCGTGATTAATATTTGATAATTTTCCCATAGGAATTTGTCAAAGTGTCCATTAAAACAGATGCAATAAAAAAGCAAGGGGGTCACAAATCAGGAAATGTGACCATTTAATCCCATGCATAAATAAATAAAGGGAGAAAAATCTGAAAACCAACTCAGCAGTCACCAAAAAGCTGCTGGATAAAATTCATTTAGAAAAACGCGAGAGAAGGAAAACTACTCAATTATAATGAAGATGATTTAACCCGAACTAACACTAAGTGGCGAGAAAGTAATTTTAAGAAAAACCAGGAATTATACATGGATGGATACCTGGTATCAACATTCCCTGTCTCCACCCCTCCCCTCCTCACCTCCACCTCTTATTCCTAAAGCATTGCATTAAAGGCTTTAACAAAAGAGTAATGTAAGAGAAATAACTACTAAAAAAGTGAAAAATTAAAAGGTAATAGGGTACATATTCAGAAAACTCAATCAGTGAAAGTGCTGCTATAACAGAAATAACACAAATGTGTGACTTTAAGAAGCAGAAATTACTTTTCTCACAGTTCAGGAGGCCTGATATCTGGATTTTGCCTCTTTTGTCCTTAGGCTTCTTGATAACGTCATGTGATTTGGCATCTTATGTCCTTTGTCTTTGCTTCCTAACTTGCTTAAGAGATTGGTTTAAGATATACATTACACCAGTATTACTTCATTAACATAATTAACGACAACAACAAAATTCCCAAATGGGACTATAACCCCAGATATAACCCAAAACCCATTGCTATCAAGTTGAATCCAACTCATAACAACCCTGTAAGACATAGAACTGTCTCATAGTTTTCAAAGCTGTACAGGTAGTGCTGGATTACAAGTGAGTTTTGTTCCTAAATCTGCCTTTAAATTAAATTTGTATCTAATTAAAATTGTTGGGTATGACTCATATCTAAAGGCATATACTCAAATGTCCATCTTAGTACATATAATGAAAAGGTATATAAGTTTTTGGATGTGACATCTCAAAACATTAATAACAAAACACCAAAAGCCAAACTCACCACCATCAAGTTGATGCTGACTTACAGCGACCCGATAGGAGAGGGTAGAACTGACCCTGTGAGTTTCCAAGACTGTCACTCTTACAGCAGTAGAAACCTGTAGAGTCTTTTTGAACCGCTGACCTTATGGTTAGCAGCACAAAGGGTAAGCGCTACACCACCAGGGTTCCTAGTAATATATTTTTAAAAACTACCAAAATTAATATGTAAATGTAATGCATTATTAATTAGGGTTCCAAAGGTATCGTTTTTTTTTAATTTTTTTTTATTTTCAGCTGGTGGGAAGACTTTGATAAAATATCATAAAGTTCGTTTTAAAGAATAAATACCTGACAATAATCAAGAAAACTATATAAAGGAATAATAAGTAAAAGAAGATACTTAGAACTAGCTATCAGAATAAAGTATAAAATACGTATGAGGGGATACAAAAATTATAGAAAGATTCCATTATCCTTTGATTTTTTTAACCTTTTGACACTCCCTTGTGTAGTATGACAGAATAGAGAGTTTAGAACTAGATTTCAGAATATGAGATGGATTCATACGATTACTTCAATGAAGTAAGAAAATTTGGGTTTTTAGTTTGGTTCTAAACAAATGGTGCTGGAAGAACTAAGTCTCCAAGTGAAAGAAAATAAAGTTTATCTTCACTTATATAATGGACAATGCTGAATCTCAATGGAGTAAATATTAACGTAAAAAGTCAAACTCTTAACCTAAGACTGAAAATTCTGTAATTGTCAGAGAATAAAAAAAAGACTGGGTAAGTGTGTATGTGGATATATTTATATATATACCAAAGTACCAGAAATGACCAAAACATAAATATGTGATTCAAAATACCCCAAAATCTATGGACAAAAGGTAAATATGGAAAAATATTCAAAATGTCAATAATAGATATGATGTTAGCATAGGATGCAAAAGAAAAAATCTGTTACAAATTGATAACAAAGACATATTATAGAAAATGTGCAAAGGATATGATGAGACAATTCACAAAAGAGAAAAGCAAATAGTAAACAGTAAAAAAAGCAAATAGTAAATAAAAGTAAAATAAAATAGTAAATGAAAAAGTAAGACTTCTCTGCCATCAAGTCTATTCTCAGCCAGATCAACCTATAGACTGAGTAAAACCGCCCCTAAGTGGGTTTCTGAGGCTGTAAATCATTACAGGAGGAGACAGCCTCATCTTTCTCCTGCAGACCAACTGGTGGTTTCAAACTACTAACCTTGTGATTAGCACCCACCTTTTTGTTCTTTCCTAAAATTCCAATTTCACTATCCAGTCATAGCAAAATAGATGAGACTTTTTTAAGGATAAAAATAATTCAGGATTTTATTAGGAAAAGTTTTTAAATTGGTAATTAATACATATATCATATCATTCCATAGTTCAATCACGTCCAGCAGAATTATGCATTTACTACCACAATCAGTTTCTGGACACTCTTTTCCTATATGGTCTCCTTGACATTTCTCCCCTTGCCTCTGCCACCACCACTGTATGCCCCTCCCCCTGAATCCCTTATTCTACTTGCTATCTCTATAGGTTCATCAATCCGGGGTTTCATACACCAATAAACAAAAAATCATATAACACCACTTCAAATGGATGACCCCCAATGACCTAACTCCTATGAGATGCCCCCTAATATGTACAAACAAAATCCAAACAAAACAATATAAACCCAAAATGCAGAGAAATTTGGGAACCAGATCAGGGGCAGCATGCATCATAGTGGGGATCTTGTGACAAAATTTTAACTGTTCAAGTCAGATTTATGCCTTTGATCTTCTGTACTCAACTCTCTAAAACACACCGTGTAGTGACCACTTTCCTCCTATCTCAATTGTGGATAGAGAGAGTTCATCAAAGGCTTTTCTCCTATGTAGTTCCACAAATAGATCTTGGACTCCCACTTTCATCTATAGCCTTCTGCAAACCAGATTCTCACACTTTAGACTCGGATTCTAATCCCTCCTTTGACTTCAAATTACCAGTATGTGCTTCACAATCCTTTGGTGACTGATGATGGTGTGCTTCTTCCATGGGGGCTTAGTTGACCTCTCACTTAGAAGGCTGCTTGTTCGGAAACAAGTCTTTAAGACCCCAGATGCTATTTTATCTAATAACCCGGCACCATCTAATTCCTTCACCACATTTTGCTATAGCACCTGTTTTCCTCTGGGTTCCCTTCCTGAGGGCAAGTATCCAGCAGGGCCATGATGCAAGAACTAATTGTTCTTAAGTTGGAGCTAGGATTTAGTGGGAGCCCCAAACCCATTCCTGGATCTCTCTCTCTCTCCCTTTATTTAATATTACTTGGGGGTTAACACAAATGTCACATCATTGCATTGTTCAATCATGCCAAACAGAATTGTACCATCATTTCCATAATCAGTTTCCAAACACACTATTTCTTCCTAGGTTCCTTGACATCATCTCCCTTTTAACCCACCCCCCACTTCTCCTGCACCCCCTACCTTTTGAAATCCTTTTTCTACTTGCTATCCCTATAGGGTTATCAATCCTGGGTCTCATTTACCAAAAAAACCCAAAAAACATATGTCATAATTTCAAGAGGGTAACCACCAATAACATGTGAGCGACACCTTAATACAAACAAACAAAAACCATATAAAACAGAATGGCCATCACTGGTTTGTTAGAATAATATATATCTTAATACAATATATAGGGCATCGATGCAGCAAGGCCTTATTTGTCCGTCTACCTACAGCTCACCAACCATGATGCAGCTTTCTTCTGCTTCCTCAAACACCATGTATTTACTGTCTTAAACCCTCAAGTTATAGATGCGTCTGAGGTAGAGACCAATTCACCCAGTGATATTCCCACATGGTATCTCATGCAGCCTCTGGAGCATGCTGGCTGTGTGCTTTAAAGAGCCAGGATTCAGTGTCCCAGCACACCTCCACATCCGGCCGGGGTCCCCAGGATGCATTGAGAAGCCTGGGTCAGTGTGGTGCATCTGGTGCATACTGCCAACGACACTCTTCGCCTACTGTCCCTAAAAGCATTCCCAGTCTGTTTTCCCCCCACCTGGGAAAATGAGTCATTGCTCTTTTTCTTCCAACAGAAATGCCTTTGTGTTCCCCAAGATGTAATTGCTTCCTGTCCTCTCTGCTGCATTGTTCTTCCCATCCGTATCCCTCCTCCCTCTGATAGGGCTGTCTACCTGTTCAGGGGGACCTTATCAAAGATTTACATGCCAGCCTCTTGTTAAACACGCCCCTCTTCATCCCTGAGCATTTGATCTCAGTTGACATGAGGTGCCCTCCAGCCTAGTGACCTTCAAAATACTTAC